TTCCTAAGAATCAATTCAGATGCCCCTTCAAAATTAATCCAAATACATTGTATTATGAAAAAAAAAAATTGATTTTGGCGCCTAGGTGCCGACCTTCTAGAAGCATGAAATAACTATATGGCGTCAGTCCAATTTTTCTTCTATGCTCCATTGATCCCAATTTGTTCCATTTGACTCCAAATTGCTCCATTCCAATTTGTTTCAATTGCATAACCTATGGTACCTGTAATCAAAAATACAAAAAATACATCCCTTTAATGTGCAGTATCACTAAAAAATAAGCATTAAATGCATAAAAAAGTTGTATATTTTTAGGCATGTTAGTAAAGATGAATAATCGTAGACTCTGGTTTAATTCCCTGAACATGTACTGAAGTTTCGGATGGGAGTTTTAAACTATGAGATTCTATGAATAAGCAGTGAATCGTCCTAAGCTAGTTAAGCGAACACCCTACATGACATAAAAAATTAACACCAACACCCCTATGTCGAGCATAACCTATATTGAAGGTGACTTCCATTCCACAATTCTTTTGCGAGGGTCGAGGAAGGATACTCAAAACTCTCCCAGCCCATTAAATAATCCACTCAGATGGTCTTACTCCCTAAAATCAGCCACTTAATAATTGGGCAACCCAGGAAAAGCTTTTCGTGAATACTAGAAGTTCTTGCACCAGTTAGAAAAAGAGGATCATTCACAAAAAAAAAACTAAATACATGAAGGAAAGTCCCCCGCCATCACCATAAGGGCTCAGAGGCCCCTTTGTTTGTAAGTTAGGTTCGACCTTCCCTTTAGCTATTTTGGTCTTTGGTTTCTTCCCGAAGGCATTGGCTGCCACCCCCTTCAACCTCTCCCTCTCATTAGCATCCAATTTCCTCTACATTTCTTAGGTCATGTCACAAATACTTTCAGGGCATAAGTCACTACTAGATCTAGGAACTAGAACACAGATAACTCTTGTCCTACAATTTTTTTTGATGTAGTTCCTAACAGTTACTAGTAGATCTTCAATCTCCTAATCTCCTTCGTGATTGGCTGAATAAAGATTCCCTAGCCTCTCTTGCTAAAGGAAATCAGGAATTTTAATCATAAATCCTTAACCTTGCTCTCGACTCCTACCAACTGGTGTTTAGAACGAGAAGAAAGCACAATTTATCCATCATGGTCCACTTTGAACCCAAAGAAGTAAGAGAAGCTCAATTGGCCAATTAATCTATAACAATTGGAGGAAGATTATGAAGGACATGAGGAAAGAGATAGAGTTTAGCGTCACATAGGAAAGTGTAACACCATTGTTGTTGAAGACAGGCTTAAGCTCACTACAAAATGGAAGCCTCAGTCCATATTTGAACTAGTCCACATACACTATCAAACTCTCTCTGAAACATCCCGCAAATCTCTCAGTCACAGTAGCTAGTCAAAGAGTTGTATCTGGCCTAAAACAAAAAGACTTCTAGAATACCACAACTTACCATTTGAAAATAATCAATGCTATCCCTGGTGATTTCACACCAAAAAGCTCCGAGGAGTACTTCTAGGCCATGGTAGCAGAGAAATGAGGGGTGAGAAAGGGATTCCTCTGAGATGAAGGATAATCAAGGGATAAACTTTCAAACCAATCGATATAACTTATAGTACATAGTGGAAGTCAAAACGACATAGGGGTTGTTTGGTATTTTTGTCATATGGAAACACGAGAAAAGAGTCCAATCAAATACACATTACAATGCACAAAAATTAACATATAAATATATTTATATACACAAACAAATATTTTCATCTTTTTGCATGTTTACGACTGAAGAAATCTAATTAAACTATCAGTTGCGGCCTCAGTCGGGACATATCCCACCTAGCAAAATTATATATATATATATATATATATGCAATG